TTTCAGAGAAAGCAATCTGCCTGTGAATGCTAGAAAGTGGCTCCTGCATTGTTCCTTTTGGTATGCTGAATTGTAAATGTGTGTAGTGTGCAGGGGAGCACCGAGGGCAAACCATGCATATACAGATAAAAGAAAAAGATCCTGCGCCAGGCACTGCTGGCCGAGCCTCTTTCCCTTCATTCAGACACAGTCTGTGAATACCACTGGTAAATTCTCAAATCACATACTCACCACATTTGAAAGGATTTTTAAGACAGCCGTATACTTCTAAGTTGGCAGAAAATAAAAACACACTTTGAAGCAATGAGTGCTAACAAACAAAATACAGAATGGTAAATGGTTTTAAATTATAATATCTTTTTGTTGCTTCTTAAATACATATTTTCTAACAACAATAAAACACATCTTTCTTAAATTGCGTTTTATACCAGAAATAGCAATATTGTATCTTTTAAAGTTTTAACTGTGATTGGAAGTTTTAATTAATTTTTCTTAGAACAAAAATATTCAGTTGCCGTAAAAGATTACTTGTGGGGCAAAGTTAATTGGCCCCCAAAGCTGCAGCATCCTTTCTTCTAAAATAGGAATGAGATAGTTTGCAAGTAAGTAATTCGAAAAGACATCTTCTGCTAGGAATGTGTCAATGACTCTTAATATATGTATGTGTATATTTTTTACAAAAGGATGGCTTTAGAACTTTACATAAATTATCCTTACTTTTTCTGATTCTAGACACGTCATCACGTTTCATTCCTGCAGTGATAAGGTTTGGGTAGCACCAGTTATTTTTGTATAGAATCTTTTCATTGCTTCAAAAATAAATCATAATTCTTTTTTAAGAAACACAGGCTTTGTACTATAAATTAATGTGACTGTGCATCTCTGTCCCCCATTATACTAAACATTTTTGCATATAATATTTGTTCTGCATGACGTTATCAATAGCTTTCCATTTTACTGCATGTAGATGGACCTACTGCTTTAATTAATATGTCACTCCCCGACTGATACAAAGGAATGATTTACTTCGTTTCTAAAACATTGTAAACTGACTGAGCTAACTTGTAACTTCCGGCATGGTCTGTTTATTTCCATCACATTTAACAAAATTAAAATTTTGAGACGATCTGATTCAGGTTGGAATAATTTGATTTCCACACCTATTTATTTTAAAAACATTTTTACTTAGTTATCTTAGGAACGATGCTGAGTGCGACTGGGTAACACAGAAATGGGGCATTCCTTAACAGTGAACAGAGTGTCTGTTGTGTTCCATGGACAATCTGCTTGGAAATAATCAAATGAGAGAGAACTTAAAAAAATAGTTTGCCTGAACTATCCTCAAACAAGCATGGAAACAGCTCGGCCAAGATTCAGCCCCAGTGTATTTTGGGCCTGTTGCAAAATGTGACCAGGAACTGTGGCAACGTCTGGATTACAACTCTGGATGCTGTGAAAAACACAGGCTTGAGAAGAACTTTAGTTCTACTACGGGTAAAATACCTGAATATTTTGCATGTCTAAATAAATTCGAGCAGCAACAAGAGGGATTCAAAATAGAACTTGTGAATAATTTATCCCATCTTAGGCTTTCAAATATAGGCGATATAGCCCTCTACATGTTTACACTATTAAGTTCAGCATGCTCACATTTCTGAAGTGAAATTAAAAATGAATAGCAGCGCCTCAGCTTGTTAATTGTTAAATACAAGGGGTTTTACTCTATTAATTAAAATATGCTTTAATAAAAGGAGACACTGCACATTTTGATAACGACCCCACAAAGCTGAGAAGTATTTACATTGTTGCATTTTGGGGCGGCTGTGAAAGCCGATTTTAAGCTATTCAGGAGCCACAATAATAAAGCTTTAAAATTCCTCACTGGGATGCAATGTAGTTCTTTTGAAGGAAAGACTGTCTTTCTCATTCGGCAGAAATAAATCCATTCATTTGATCATGTAGTCATTGAGGGCGATACAAAACAAACCAAGTGTGAGAAATTCTATGTGATGAAGTAAACAAAACAAAAAAAAAAATCCATTTCCATGACAAAAAGATTCTTTGTCCTTAATCTACCCACCATATGCAAGCGTTTCTTTTTAGCATATCGCCTGTTCTAATCTTGGCTGACTTGGCTACGCAGATAAGACTCCCTTACCTCTGCGGCAACAAAAAGCCCCCAGCAAGCTCACTCATTTTATTTAATTCATTAATTCCCCAGCCGCGTCACAAGCATGCTCTGGCGTTCTCATCCGACATGGGTGTCTACCTGCTTTGTCAAACTTTCCTCCACCGTGTGGGAAACTCTTCCGCCCCGTTTCCTTTCCGCAGACAGTCTCATTCTCTGAGTAAAAAGATCACCATCTGCCTCCAGCAACTTGTAATAGGTCAATCATAAAAGTTGGCCTGCCTATTTTCCTAAGGAACAAATTATTTTACGTGCGAGCTGCGCTGAAGGCTCGGGGTCGCGGCACCGCCCTCCTCGGCCCTCCTTCCTGGCGCCCTGGGGGCCCTGCGGGGCGCGCCGAAGCCTGGGGCCATGGCCTGAGGTTTTAACTCGAGCAAGGGGCCCGGGGGCACCCCAAACTCTGCGGGGCTGAGATGCCGCTCTGGGAAGCCCAGCCCTCCGCCGGGCTCTAACTGGCGCGGCGCCTGCCCTTCGCTTTTGGAGGTTTCAAAGAGGAAGCTTCTAGCAGCAAAACGACTGCAAAGGCGTCTCCAGCGCCCGGCCTCGGTGGATCCAGAAAGACGGGAGAAGGCCCGTGCAGACCCTGCAACGCCCCGGAAACACGGGGGTTCTGCCGCGTGCAGAGGGCAGGCCCCAGGCCGCCGCCGCGCTCACCCCAGCCTAATCCCCCAGGCGGCCATTAGGCAGGGCCGAGACCCCGACCTTCCCCTCGCCTCGCAACGCGATCACAGGATGCGTCCACTCGCTGGGACGCGCGGGTCACCCGAGGCCGGCGGTGCGGGGGGCCGGGGGCGCAGGCGGGGCCGGAGAGGTGGCGTGGGGCCCCCGGGACCTGCGGTGCCGAACAAAGCTGGCCGGGCAGGCGGCAGGGTCCCCGGCCCGCTTCCAGCGATAGGTGGGCTCCGGTGGCCTTCCCCGCCGCTGCGCTCGCCTCGGGGTCGCCGAAGCCGGCCCCAACGTCCGGGTGCAGAGACCCCGGAGGACAACGCGGAGACTGAAGCGCCGCGGACTCCCTCCCGCCCCGGCCTCCGCCCGGGGCCGCGCGGACTCCGCGCCGTCCTCGAGCCGGCCGCGGCCTCGGCTTCGGCGCCCTCCGCGCGCAACTCCCCAACTCCGAGGAGAGGAGCCAAGTTTACTTCGCCCACAACTCTCTCAGCGGCCGCGCGCGCTCCGCCGAAGCACCCGGGTCCCCGCGGCCGGCCTGGCGCAGGGCGGACACCCGCTCGCGGGAACCGGGGAACTTTCTCCCGTTCCCGGACGCACGCGCGCGGCCGCTCCCGCCGCACGCGCTTCCCCAGCCCGGGCAGGCAGCCCCAGACCCCCAGCCACCCCGGAGCCCTGGCCCTCACCGTGCTCGGGAGCCCCGTCCGGCGGCGGCAGCTCCTCGTCCGACTTGAGGTGCTGGGGCTTGGCCTGCTTGCGCCGGGACATGCTGCTAGCGGCGCTCGGGCCCCGCGCGGGGCAGCGACATCAGCGGGGCGGCCGGCGGAGACGGCGCGGGGCGGGCGCGGGACGGCCGGGCGGGCGCGGGGCGCGGGGCGCGGGGCGGCGGCGGTGGCTGCGCGGGCCGCGCATGGGGCTGAGCAATTAGGCTGGTGAATAATGCATGGCCATTAGCCGAGGGCCGCGCGGATTGGCCGGCCTCCAGCGGACTCCGGCGGCCTATGCAAATGAGGCCGCGCTCGCAATTAGCGGCCGCGCCGGCGAGGAGGGGCCGCGGCGCCTTGGGACCGACCAGGGCGCGCGCTGCCCGGCGCCGCCTCACATCGCGGGCTCCGGCGCCGCGCTCCTCGGCCGCCCCCTCTGCGGCTCCGGCGGGCCCGGGTACGGCGCGGGCCGCGGTGGCCGCCGCTCCGCAGGGCGCAAGCGGCAAACTTTGGCGGCGTCCGCGCGGCGCCGTCTCCGCCGGCGCGCCGGGCTCGCCCCTTTATAGAGTGTCGGCGCCGCCGCCCGCGCCCCGCGCCGCGCCCCCCCCGCCGCCGCCGCCGGGCAGCCCCTCCCGGAGCGAGCGGCCGCAGGCAGGGCTCCGGCCCGGCGCCTTTGTCTCGGCCCGGCCGCTTGGGCGCCTCCCGCTACGGGCGCGCGGGGTCCGCCGGCCGCCTCCGCTGCTCCGCCGCGGCTGTCGGCGCCGCTCCGCGCAGCGGCTGGGCTCGGGCTCAGGTGCCCTCTTCTCTCCCGACCTTCTCGCCCGGCCCCACGTCCCCTCCGCAGGCTCCCCCGGCGGCCGGCCCGGCTAGGAGCCTCGCGGCCGGAGCAGAGCGGAGCGCGCACGCCGGGGTGGCAGGACTTCGGCAAGAACAACTTTCCGGTTCGGAAGCGGCGCGGACCGCGCGGCTCCTCCCCTCCTCTCCCTCCCTCCCCCGCGTGCCCCCTCCCCTCCGCTCCCCCCTCTCCCCGCCCCCCAACCCGCGGGCCCCACCGACTCCGGAGCGCCCGCCCCGCCCGCCACCGCCACCGGGGCCGCCTCGCCCCCGCGCCAGCTCGCCGGGGCCTCTCCTCTCCTCCGGCGGCGGCCTCTTAAATGCAGGAAAGGGAGGGGACCGCAAGGCCCCGGTGTCCCCACCCCAGTGCCTCTTCCCCACGGGCGCGGTGGCCCGGGTGCCCGCGGAGTGGTCAGCGAGCGCGAGCGAAACTTCCAACTCCACCAAAGTCCCGCGCGCGGCCCACCGTGTCCCTGGGATTTCGGGGATGACCTGGGGGCCAGGTGAGGGGGTTGCGCACTTTCGGATCGGCCCCACACCCCGGGGCTGCTGGCGCGGCGCGCTCCCCGCACGCGCGCCCGCCTCCTCGCCCGCGGTCGCACGCACGCGCCCTCGCCCTGCGCGCACAGGCGCGCACTCCCACTCGCGGCCGTGCACCCGCCGCGCGCTCTCCCGCCCGTGTCCTCCCTACCCGAGCGGCCGCCAGGATGTGTCCCAGGCCCGGTCGCCGCCGCTCCCGCGCCAGTGCTCCTCGCCCTAGTGCGCCTTTTTTCATTTCCTAAATTTCTGATTTTTGTCCTTGCAAGTGGCCCTGACTGGTGCGAAGCGTCAGCACAGATGGCCTCCTGGAGCTTCCCGAGTGGTTCGCTGGGGGAAGCCGGCGGCGGGCGGCCGGCCAGGGGTGTTTCGAGGGCCGCGAGCTCCAGGCAGGGCTGGTGGCGGGGGTCCGCCTAGGGTAGGAATCCCCGCCTGCTCCTTCGGACCCCGGCCTGGCGCGGTTCGCCGCGCTCGGCGGGCTGCCTTCCATTCTAGAATCTTCCCGCTTGCTTCCCAGCCTGCGCTCTCCTGCCCGCCTTTAATTGTGTAAGTTTGACGAAGTCAGAGCTTTGGGTTTCAGGAAAAGCGCTGGAGAGTCTTAGAGGAAGGGAGGGCGCAGGTTGGGGTCATCTCCAAACAGCCCCCATCGCCACTTTTGGAAAAAAAAAAAAAAAAAAAAAGAAAAACCAAAACACCCTTAAGGTTGGTTTCATTTTGCCTTTTGTTGACAGGCGTATTCATTTTTTTTTTTTTTTTTTCAAGACAGACAAATAAAAGATGTTTGAAATCTGGAGTTATCCGGTTTAACATACATCGAAGGCACTTTTCTAGTTAAGCTACGGGGGAAATGTTTTTATCTCGCCGTTAGGCTGCGAACTTTTGCAGATGCTCAGGCTTTGGGGGGATGCTCTGGCATCTGGCGCAGAGACGCCCGGCGGGGAAAAGTTTGCAGCCCGGGCTTTGGGGCGCGCTGGGGGTGGGGCAGGAATTTTTCTGAGAAAAGAGGGGCAAAGAGACGTTGCGGGTGGGGAGAGAAAAAAGGAACGCAGGGGGGAGGCGGGAAAGCAGCTTGGAGAATGCGAGTTTCTGGCAGAATTTACAGGATTAAAGAGTTTGGGGAAGTCGCAGAGCCGCAGCGGAAAGGCAGGGGTCTAAGACTGCTTTCGAGGAGAGGAAGAACGCAAAACGACCGCTGGTGGGCCAGAGACGGGGTTGAAGATATCCTAGCTTTCATGACCTCAGTGGGTCATTTTAAGCGCGCTGCGCCCACCTTCTGTGGCGTAAGGCCCGCTCCCCCCGTCCCGCACCCCTCTCTCCAACAAACTGGCAGGATTTCCTGAGATCTTTCTGGGGCTTCCAAACGCAACTGTTTAATGTCATCGGTATGTTTTGCATTTCCTACAAGGTGTGGACGGGGGAGGATCTCCTAAGTCCCTCCAACGAAGGCAAGTGTGAGGCTCTGGCCCTTTATTTGTAAGAAGCAAGCCTTCAGATTGCAGAAGTGTCGCGCGGGTCGCCGTGTCATGCGCGAGTGGGAAGATGGAGGAGGCTGGCACGGCGCTTCCGTGGACGGAAGTGAACCGGGCATGAAGGCAGGGTGCGAACTCTGCCCTTGGCCCAGCCCTGCGTGGGCGTTGTGCCAGGTTCCGGGCGGCGAGGGGTGCAGAGAACCGGAGAGTTGCGGGCTCCCCAGCGCAGGCTGTGCTCTGGGATTTCGTTGGAAGATCCGGCAAAGCCTTGGAGGAGAGGGCCCGGGAGGCTGTGTGTGCAGCGGAAACCTGTGCGAATGTCCCCACAGCTGAAATGGTGCGCACGAGTAATTTCTGCGACGCACCCTTTTTAAAATTGGCCTAAGTGAACAAGATCAATTTTTTATTTCAAAGCAAAGGTAGAAAACAAAAGGCATTCGACTTCTTGACTGGTTGTTCCTCCCTGTTTTCCTTCCCTGCACTCAGATCAGAAACTTTTCTTTAATTGCTCTTATTCAGTGCGGCAACTTTGAGTAGAAGCGCTTGTATCGTAAGCCTGAGTTGCAACCATAGATACATTTCGAAGTGACAACGTGTCCGTGGACTATTTTCGCAGATGAGGCAGGATGTGCGCTCTGGTCGTGCCCATACTAAAGGGACGCTGGGAAGTGTGCCTGTGCGGGGCAGACTCGGAGGGAGTGGGCACACGCGCGTCACCACATGACCACTGTCTATTAATATTGTCATACCTAAACACTCGGAAAAACAAAAGTTGCTTTTCTTCCCTGTAATTAAATCTAATTTGTTAATTGTCTTTCCTCTTGCAATGTTGTTTTCATCTTAAGAGGTGACACATTATTATTTTGTCTGTCTAATATTATTTACAAATTAATGCTGTATATTTTACATTAGTGAAACATATAATTAGGCGTTTGGTTCAATCTGTATCATTTATTCAAATAAAACAAAGCCTATCTGCAAGATTGATTGGAAGTTGAATAGCTTGTTCTAATTTACCATCACAGTCACAGTTTAAAGCTACCTGGCTCCAGATTCACAGAAGCTAGCTTTACCTAAGGTGTATTTGACGCTTTGTTTGCAAGTGTTTATTTTCCCCAACCACTTAGTGAAAAAAAAAAAAGTATTCAAATATGAGGCCTTTCATTTTCTGTCTTCTTTCACTCCTGCCCCCGACCCAAAGTTCCTTTCTTCTATTATCTGGCCACCTCTCTCCCTCTCTCTGGTTCCTCCCCAACCCCCAACTTTTGTTTTAGGTTCTTAGGGTTAAATCCAGCATGATTTTGTGCCTTTAATGCTGTGACAAGTGACTGCTAATTGGTTCTCACTTGAGCAAAGATATTACCATACTAATATTATTATTGGTAAGAAGAGGTAATTGATAACACCACCTGCCACTCTGGGGCAATCAGGATGATAAATGTTTCCATCAACAGGAAATCTGTGCTTGGTGTGCCACAGCCCAACGCAAACAGCATGTCAAGTGCCAATTATAAAGACGTTGCTTTTTCTATTACATTGGGGGGGGCTAGAAAACATGTAGCCAAAAATTATATTTATGGATTTTTGAAAACGCTTTTTCCAATCCTGTGTTCACCTACTTGAAGATGACTTTCCCCATAAAAATAAAATGCTCTAGGTAAATAAACCAGCACATTGCTAACTGCCCTGTCCATACTGGATACAACTGCTGTGACGTCCTTTGCTTTCAGAGCTATGGAGATAAATACCCCTAAATATTTTTAACAGATGCGAACCGGGTGTGGAGTGTGTCAGTCCGTCTTGGTTGTGTGCTCCGCAGCGTTCCTGTCCACAGGACACTGTAGCTTCACCTTAGGCATCAGAGGCAAACATTCCTTGGCTTTTAATGGCATACACAGAAACATCAGCTCACAGTCGCCTTCGCACGGAGGGATGCAAACGACGGTGAAGGACTTCTCCTCTGATGGCTGAACTGTGGCTCCGGCAGCGTGTGACCAGGAGGGGCATTTCATTCACCATGTATGATTACATAAATAATGCGAGCAAGTTAAAACTTTGACTCCTTGCCTACAGGGAGGCTCAAACGATTATTATTAGCTTGCATTAATAGATGCAGGCCTCAAAAGGCGAAATCAGCTATTGATAATTGCAAGAAGTATACAGCAGCTACTGTATCGATCGGCTTGTCCCTTATTCCCCTGGTATGGGAGAGATAAGAAGACTCACTCTTTAGTGCAATATAATTTCTTTTGACCTATCTGCTTGCTACAGACTTATGATGAATAGCCAGAGTGGTTAAAGTCCTTTATCACGAAAGTTACCCCTTGATATAATATTGATTCTTTATAACTAGCTCCAAACACAAAAATCAAACTGTCCACTTGACCATCATCATCATCAATATCATCACAAAGCCCCTGGAATAAAGATCAGCGCCAGCCTGAAAACGCTTTCTATAATCTTCCCGGCTAATCTTTATTTGCTGATGATGAAAAGAAAAAAGAGGGGGAGGGAGAGTGAGTGGAATGTCATTTGGACGAGCACTGTATTTATATGTGTACATACATTAGGTCAAGGCAAGGCGGCCTCTCCCCAGGAGGACCCGCGGTCAGCGTGGTCATCCCCCGCAGCGCTCTGTCTCCCGACCCACCCCGGGAGGCCCAGGGGTTGGGGAAAAAACAAAAAGGGCTCCATGCGCGCTGTCCCGCGTTGGAGACACAGTGAGCCCAGAGCCTCCTGCTCGTAGGAAATCGATGCCACGCGTCCTCGGCGCTCAGGCCGGCCCTGCGCTCACGGGAGCGCGGGTGGAGAGGGTCGCACGCCGGGTGGGCTCGCCGGCCTGCAGGGGCCGGGCTGGCTGGGAGGCTCACATCAAAGGCCGCCGGTGCAATGCGTGTGCGTTTCCCTCAATTACCGGCGTTTCCTGCCCCCTCGCTTCCCTCCGTCCGCCCCGCCCCCCGCGCCTGCCCGGGCTGCCTGAGCACGAGGACGAGCCTTTGCCCGCGCGCGCGTCCGTGTGAGTGCGCGCGTGCGCGTGCGGGGTTCCCAGGGGCGCTCCGGGAGGGGCGCCCAGTGGAGGCTCGAGGATCGCTGGACCCCGAAACCCCGTCGAGGCCGAGTTTCGGGCGCGTTTTGGGGCGAGTGAGGCTTAGGGGCGCGGTGGGTGGAACGCAGGGAGGACCCCAACTTCTGTGTCCTGGCACGTTCTCTGCGTCCGCACCCACTGGCTGCGATGCTGGCCTCGAGGCGCGGCGGCCCGAAGGACCCCACGTGCAGGGGCTCCCGGGCACCCTCATTTCACACGCCCCGACCCAGTCTGTCCTCACGGCGTTTCCGCGACCTCAGATGTCGCGCGCCAAATGAGGCGGGGAGGTGGCTGTGAAAAGAATGTGGCCACAGGCGCGAGGGGCGGCAGCGCGGGGATCCTGCCCAGCAGTTTCCTAATTAGCGCGACTGCGGGGTCCGCGGGCGGACGGGGGCCCCCGCCTCCGGGCTCCACTCCGCTGGGGGCACCGGTCCTCGCGGCCCCCGCCGCGTCGGTCCCGCCCCAGGGCGGTCCCAGGGCTCGGCGCGGGTCCCAGCGGGGCTCAGGCACTCCCGGGTGGGCGGCGCCGGCGGGTCGGGGGACCTTGGGCGTCAGGCTCCAGACCGGGTCCCGCTCGCTCCCGGGGGTGGGCTGTGTCCCCGCGGCCCCCTCGCAGTCGGAGGACTGGCCGCTTCCCCGCCCTCGCCCGGGGCTCTAACGCCTTGGCGGTCACCGGGTCAGGCCCTGCGTTGCCGCGCGGGGCCACTGGATGGTGGGAACCGGAGGACGGGCCTGGGCAAAACCCCGCAACGCATTTCAGAACCGCGTCCCTGGCCACGGCCACCTGCGGGGGCGGAGCGGGGGGTAGACCTGAGGTCTCCTGGGCGCCCAGTCCCGGGCGAGTCCCCGCGGTCTTCCCTCGGCCTGCGGGGCGGGGCCTGGAGGGGGAGCGCGCGCGGGAAGCTCCTGGCGTGAAAAATGTCCGCGTCTCGGCTCTTGGCCCCTCTGTGTCCGGGACAAGCCCGCGTGGGAGCCCCGCGGGCTGGCTGTGTGCGCGCCGGATGCGGGACGTCCCCTCCGCACCTCCTGGCTGCGGAGCTGCTGTGCTCTGCACGACACGTTCAGAGAAGTTTCAGAAGCGGGCACAACTCTGATGCAACCGTTTCCATCGTTCTTGGCTTCTCATGATCACAAATGCCGTTTGTCTTGGCTCCAAGCTCTGCAAAAGTGCGGGGCTGAATTCTGCAGGACGCTGCGTTTGTGGGGAGGCCTTCACCACAAGGTCCTTGACCGCTGAGCAGGGGACAAAGAGGACCCAGTACAGGCCGGGTGGCTCGCGCTCTCGCTGAGGATGGGCGTCTTCTCTGTGACCAATTGCGCTGAGCTGCTGGCCCACAGATCCCAGGGGTGTCCTGGCAGGTCAGGGACAGAAGAGGTACAAAAGTCAAATAGATTAGAATCAGCTCAGGCTCAGTCGCCAGGGTGAAAGCTAGCATCACAGAGCAGAGTGAGTGTCTCATTCTCAAGCTGGGCCATGCGGCTTGCTTAGCTAAATACTCAGCAGGTGTGCCCAGGGGCCACGTGCTGGCGCCTGGATGCCTGGGCTGGATAGAGCAGGTGCCAGGTGTGAGGCCTCCTCGAGACCTTGGCAGAACTAGGGCCAGAACTGCAGAGTCTGTGCTGCCTGGTGAGGTGAGGGATCTAAGGGGTTCCTGTGTCTCCCTTGTCCCCCAGTCCCGCCTCTGCAGAGTTTTGCTTGATAACACCATTCTGTGCCTTCCGCTGTGGATGTCTGACTCATCAGCACTTTTCTGCTTGGAATCAGAAATGGAAGAATGCAAGGCACAGCTTCTCCAGGAAAGGACGGTGTCACTGAAACACAAGCTGAGGCCTTCACTGATGGGGACGCACAGGCCCCGAAAGAAACTGATTTTCTTTCAATCGGAAACTTATACAAAGGAATTCTTTATAAAAATTTCCACCCCTGGGTGGAAGGTGGATTTGCCTAAAGTCTGGGTGCGACTGGATGCTGTGCAGGCACCCTCTGCTTGAAGAAAACTGAGTAAGTCAAAATTAATCAGATGGAAAAGTTGAGGGGATCGTTCTCTGCTTGACAAAGGACTCTTCACTTTCCAGGGGTGCTCGTTCCAGCTCTCTGAAGTAGCCAGTTGTGTCACGTGCTGTGAAATTGGCCGCGTGCAGTGCTGAGATGCCAGTCCTACCTTACTCAGCCCGGCTCACCCACAGGCCTGGGCCTTGGGAGTGCTGTTCTGGGCCCTTCAATGAGACGCAGAAAGGCTGCGGTTGGGTTTTGTTACAGTCGTTGAGGAAGGGACAACTCTGTGTGACACTCCTGCTTTGTGACCTGGGCAGGTAACAGGGGCTGGAGGGTGGTGGCACTAGCCACCCTTAAATAAAGGCGACCTCAGAGGTTTGGGGAGGAAAGTGATAGTCTGGAAGAGAGGGCCCCGGGCCACGTGAGGAACGAAGATGGCAGTGGAAGTGCCCGTGGCAGTCACGTGGCCCTGTGGAACCCCTGTGATGGAAGTAGGCTGGAGGGCCCTGTGAGGCTTTGAGACCACAGAGGGTGGTGGTGGAACGAAGGCTCCAGACTGGCTTGGCTGTGGAGGGTGAGTGGGAGAAGGCAGGACCCCCAGTGCTGGGGCCCGGGCAGTGGGCTTGCTCTGGGCGTTGCAGACAATGGGAGGCTTGGGGAAGAGGGGACCTTGGTGGAGCTGCCAGGGGAGCGTGGGGTTCCAGGTCAGCCCACTCAAAATTCCCTCAGATGTTCCGAAAGGCCTTAAGGAAGAGCTGAGACTTGAACACAACGCATCCAGGCAACAAGACACATGCGATAGGGCAAAAATATGTCCACGGAGCAGCTCAGGACACGTCCCTCCCGGGCCTGGTAGGAAGTCAGTGCCTCTAGCTCAGGAAATCTTGGCTCTTCTTGACAAACGCATCCTCCCAAAACACCGCCGCTCTGAGAGTGCTTGGGAAACAGATTGCTAATGGGCCCCGTTTATTTCTCATGGCAAATTTCAGAAGGGGTCACGATCGCTCACACATTCAGAGCACCAATGCCACCTCCCGCTGTCAGCGGGCCCTCTTCTGTGGACCATGAAGACCCCTGTCGTCAGAAGGGGTCACAATCGCTCACACATTCAGAGCTCCAATGCCACCTCCCGCTGTCAGCGGGCCCTCCTCTGTGGACCAT